GCCCCCCCCCCCCCCCCCCCCCACACACGCCTCATCAGGACACAAGCGCCATGATCCTTTTCTCTCGTGTGGATATGTATGTGTGTATGGGTGTCTGTCTACACATTGCGCGACGCGACCGACACGGATAATGATAGACAGACAGACAGACAGACAGTGTGTGGCAGTGCCTGCCTGGCCATTCTCCCTCTCTCTTAGTCTTCGCTTCACTCACACACACACACACACACACACACAAGTGCCTGCCGGGGATGTGTGGGTGGCTGAGGGTTTGGCGAGACGCGACAGACAAAGATAAAGACAGACAGACAGACAGACAGCGGCTCGTTCAGGCTACCCACCTACCTGGCCGCTCTCTCCCTCCCTCTCTCTCAGTGTGTCCTTTGCTGTGGTGTGTGTGTGAATTCGCCCGCTCGGGTGGACTGACTGTTGCTATGCTCATCTCCTCAATTGCTCGTTAATGCTTCATTCCTCCCTTAATCCCACTACTACAACAAAAGACAGGCCTTTTTGTCCTTTGCCTTCTCTGGCTGGCGATTGTCTTGTTAACCGTCTCCTTCCTCAACTAAGTGTTCCCGCCAATTGGTTCCCGCGTTGTCTCATTCATGTGTTTATGGGCCGTGGATCTCTGACGACACACTGTCTCGCTCTTCTGCTGCCCGTGTGCTGTGCTGTGCTGCCATGGCTGTGCTGTGTGATGGGAGACGGCCACGGCGGCCGACAGAATGATAAACATTGACAAAGGGATGGATGTTCGGTTGCTCAACCACACACATGCACACTCACACACACGGACGGATGCCTCACTGCAACATAACTGTCTGCTCCTTGTGTCTCCCAGACGTCCGTGTGTCGACTTGCCACGGATGTGTGTGTGTGTGTGTGGGTGAGTGTCTGTCGCGTCGATGAATGGATGGATGGATGCACGTGTGATATGAATGATATCAGCCAATAACGGACCAACAGGATCGGGTTGGCCACCACTGGATCAATGCATTGGATGGCATAACAAACAAGACAAGGAGGGATGGTGCACTCACTGCACCACCGACACAAAGCCATAGATAGTCAATTCACTGTCGGTCATGAATGTCTTGACAATAAGCGGCAAAACAGCGGTCGTACGCAATGCAATAGGCGACACAAACGGACGTACGCATCAGATCACATGTATCTCGTCCAGCCAGCCAGAGATATGCACGAGCCTCTGCCTCTCTCACTGTCTCTCTCTGTGTCTGTCTCTCTGTCTGTCTGTCGTCACATCACACCACATCACACCTCACCACCTCACCCACCAGACGACCAAACGCATTCGACTGATTGACTGACTGACATCTCCCCGAAGACACAAAATTGCCGCTCGTCGAGCAGCTACGAACACCCACCCTCACACACGCGCACCGATAAGGAGAGGGGAGGGGACACTTCTGCGTTGCCTAGCAGCGGAGATGAACCGTTGAACACCCACCCTCTCCCTCGTCCCTCCATCAGCCAAACATCTGGTTGAGAGTGCCTGCACACACACAGACAACCGCGTGTGTGTTAGATAGAGTGTCTGTCTGTCTGTCTGTCCGTGTGGGTACCGCACCATTGGCGGTGAGCACTATCCATAGGAAGCCGACGACAAACGACGCCAGGCACGAGAAGACGTGGATGAACACCGCAAACCGCCAACGATTGATCGACACCCGGTACGTCACTGACACCAACACACACACCAACACACACACCATATGAGGCCACTGCGCCCACACCTTCACACCCATTGCCGGCCGGCTGCCTACTCTCGCCATATGCGGCTGCAAGGAAGCCCATAGTGAGTGTGGTGACCAGCAAAAAGAGACAGAGGTACACCAAACCGTCCAAGGGATCGGCGAATTTCGACGCTGGCAACAGGCCGAGCAAACCACCAGGGCCTGATCCACATCGACACGCACACACAGGGCGCCCATCCACCAACACAACACAATGCAACACAACATAAGCCCAGTGTTTGTGTGTGTCGGTCGTCCTCCCTACCAGCGACGCCGTGCAGGATGCCCATGCAGACGGCCGTGACCTTCTGCAGCATGCCCCCCGCCCCCCTGCTGCTGCTAGTGACAGCGCTGGTGGTAGTGCTGTCCCCGAGGTGACGGTGGTGGCCGTGCCCATGGCCCTCCCACCAATGCCCATGAGGATGAGAGTGAGAAAGAGGGTGAGGGTGAGAAAGGGGCTGCATCACCATGGGCAGTGCCACTGACGACCTGCCACTCTCCTGAGTGGGTGTGGTCGGCGAATCATTGTCACTCTCGCCGTGGCCATGCCGGGTCAGCATGGGCAATTCCAGCGGCCGCCGGCTCTCCTCCGGCGGCGCGTCCGCCTCGTTGGAGAGGTGCCATTCTGGCGGTGTGTGGTGCGGATGGTCGTCTCGAGTGCCCTCAGATGAGCTGCTAGTGCTGCTGGTGGTCGGGGTGCAGCTGGTACTGCTCTCCCCGCCTCCCTCGCCCTCCCCGCCATCCTCATCGCCGTGTCGGGTGGCCATGGTGACGGCGCTCTCGCCATCTCTCCTGCCCATATCTCCTCCTTTGATCTCTCCGTTGCCGTCACCATCTGGCCATCCATCGTCGGCGAGCGGCGCTTGGTTGCCAATCACGCGAGGGCTGCGGTTGACGGGCGTGTGTGTGGTGGACGAGAGAGGGGTCGATGCGCTGTCGCTAGCTGCCGCTTGTGACACAGCCCATGACGTGGCAGCACCATGGTCGTCTTCAGGGAGCGTCCTGTATGCGCCAGGAGGGCCGAGAAGCTGCGGTTGCTGCTGCAGCTGTAGTTGTTGCTGTGGCGACCATGGGTCTCTCTCGTGTTGCTTGGCAGGGTCCGCATCGCACGGGCTGTTGGTGTCGGTGCCGAGAGCCACAGCCCCGTAGACATAGGAGGGGTGGGTGCAGTCGCCGCCCAGCGGCAGATGGATGTTTTCCCTGATGCGGCTCAGCCACCCCCCTGACGCCATAGCCATCTCCACCGCCTCACCCCCGCCACTACCGCCGCCCTTGCCATTGTCATGGTGATGATGCGACACATGACTCTCGCCATTGACGACATGGAGGGTCCTGGCGTCCTCCTCGACCCCCCTCTCCACACACATGTCCTCCCCCCCAGTGGCTAGTGCTTCAAGCGCCACATCATCCCCACCACTCCCAGCGACAACACCCCCACAGATATCGCCCTTATCGGTCCTGAGCTCCCTCCACGACTGCACGGCGTAGACTAGAGAGAAGACCACCATGGCCGCGCCGGCGATGTAGTTGATGATGTCGTCTAGCAGCGGGCTCACAAGGCCCGTTCCTCGGTGGTGGCCCTTGGCTGATTGGTGATGTTGGCTGCGCAGCCCCCACAGCACCAGACCCACCAGCAACAGGCCTATGGAGTGACCTGCAGACAGACAGACAGACAGACACCAGAAACAAACAAAGTGGTTGTAAGTGGTGTGGTGTGGTGTTGGTGCACCCACGGCACGTACCGATGCCCCATCTGATGCCGTAGTAGAAGGCTTTGAACCGCTTGCGCACACAGATAGTGATGATGGCCGACACGTGGTCAGGGCCAGTCAGCACGTGAGCTATCCCCGATAACACCGACGTCAAAATCGCACGATATAGCATCATAATCAAAGATAGCCAAAGCGCCTCCGCCGCGCCACCGAACAATAGATGTCCCAAGTTGCTCCCAACAATCAGCAGAAAACAGGACGCACCAAGCAAGGCACCAAGCCTCTACCTTTGGAAGCCTGGGGCGCCTGCTCGACTTCTCATATCTCTCACCCTCCCATCCGACCTCCTGCGAATCTGCAACAGCAGTTTCAGGGAGCACCCTAGGCGGATCTTCTAAGCTCGCAGCAAACGTGCTTCAGGGTGTCCGGTTAGCTGTGTATCATCGACCACCCGAGCCGCCAGCTCACTCTCAGCAGCCCTCACCTTCCAAATAGCACCACTGAGTTGAGTGAGGACAGCACCACTGACTCAGGAGACGACGATGGAGGTCGAAAAGAAGCTCGACATGTCACTGGGTACGCACGTCAGCAACCCAACCTCCACATCAGCCGCATCGCATTCTCGGTGAAGTGTTCTGTCTCTCTCCCTCTGTGTGTGTGAGCAGATGACATCATCAGTGGCGGTGACAGGAAGGGCGGCAGCGGTGGCGGCGGCGGGTCTTCAGGCGGGGGAGGGGGAGGGCGTCGGCTGGGGCGTGGGATTGGCAGGGGGCGTGGCCGCAGCCGTAATGCGGCATCGGCTCCTCCCAGGCGATACAACCAGTCTGTGCAGCTGCTCAAGGTGAGCCGAGCCTCGGTGCACGCGGCGCGGGAGCCGTGTCTCTGACCTGACCGTCCATCTGTCTGCTGGATGCAGGCTCGTGATGCCCCGGGTCGTGCCCTCATGGATCGCGGGCGCCGCGGCGGTTCAGGACAAGTAAGCGACAAAAGGAAAGGAGCAACGAGGAGGGAGGGAGGGAGGGAGGGAGCGACCCACCACAGCATTCATCCTTCCCTGCCATGTGCCATGTGCTGTGTGCTGTGTGGCGTGTGTGTGTGTGTGTGTGTGCTGTGTGTGTGTGTGTGTGTGCGTGCTGTGTGTGTGTGTGTGTGTGTGTATGTGTAGGGTCGCGGCGGCCGCGGGGTTCGAGTGACACTCAACCGCCGCGCTGAAGGTAGGTAAAACCCCCACAGCACGATCACTGACAACGACACGAGCCAGCAAGGTTGGAGAGAGGAGAGCAAGGGATGGAGGCATGGATGGCGTCATGAGCCGAGCAAGCATCCGGGCGGGGGACTCATCTCATCTGGTGGATGGATGGGTGGACGGTGCTCGCTTCGCTTGCTCGTCATGAGATTGATGATGCCTTCCTTGATCACCTTCATTACGAAGCCTACTCTGCTGAGATGATCATGTTGCTCTTTCTGCTGCCTGCCTGCCTGCCTTGGGTGGTCTGCTTCCTTCCTCTTATTATGGTATCCGCAGCGATGATGGAGGGCCCGCAGCGCCGCGCCGAGGGCACCACCGTGACCATCGAAGGGCTCGAGTACTCTGTCATGCAAGACGACCTATACGTAGGCACAGCTCCCGGGAGGAAGGAGAGAGCCACACACACACACACACACACAGATGCAGACAGAGATGTGTGTGGTGTGGTGTGGTGTGTTGTGTTGTGTTCTTGTGTGTGTGTGCAGGAGTTGTTTCAGAGCATCGGTCAGGTGGTCAAGGTCTGGATCGACTACGACAGCACGGACCGATCGGCAGTAAGCACTTACACACACATCGACATCACATGGCAAAACCACTCTGTGGGGGTTGTATGTGTGCAGGGCAGCGGCGGTGTCGTGTTCGCCAGCACGGCGGACGCCGAGCAGGCCGTCAAGCGTTACAACGGTACCTATCCATCCATCCATCCACACACATGGATCGACGACCACGTGCAGTGCACTCCCTCGCGCTCATCGGCCTGTCTGTCTGTCTGTCTGTCAGGTAAGCTCCTGGACGGTAAGCAGCTGAGTTTGGAGTTGGACCCCTACGCCCAGCCCAACACCAGCTCCAGCGGCGGCTTCGGCGGCATGATGCCCACACGCGGGCGGTCAGTCTCAGACACACCACACCCATCTCCTTCATCACGTGTGGACGTGTCCGTGTGTGTGTGTGTGTGCAGGGGTCGCGGCCGCGGGCGTGCGTTGCTGCAGCCGGCCAGGGGCCGCGGCGGACCCAGCGGCTGGTGAAACACCACAGCCATTGCAAGACCAACAAACACATGGATGGATGGATGGATAGCTTGACTGACTGACAAACCAACTATCTAGCGAGCGACGTAGAACAGACAGGCGGCCCGACGGACGGTTGATTGACTGAGTGGCTTGGCTTGGCTTGGCTTGCTTGGCTGCGTGAGATTGGTTGGCTGCGTCCATATGATGAGCTGTTTTCAAGAGTGGATGGATGGATGGAGGGAGGGATGGTGAATCTTGTACAGACAATGCCTCTGTTTGTGTGTTTGAGTGTGTGTGTGTGTGTGTGCATCTGCCTGAGTACCTGCGATTCGCTGACTGGATGGATGGATGGCTTGCCGGAGTAAGGTAGTGCTCGCAGGTCAGGTAGCCTTGATACCTGTGTGTGTGTGGACGGATAAATGGATGGATGGACCGATTGGATGAATAGATATCACTCAACCCCCCCCCCTCCCCCTCCCCCTCCCCCTCCTCACGCACACAAGTGGTCTGTCTGCGAGTCATTCAGTCTATCATCACTCACTCCATAGCGCTCTGATGGTCAGTCACCTCACCCGTGCCTGTTGAGCAGCTTGGTGAACTGGTCAAACAGATCCTTGTTAGACTCACCTGCACACACACACACACACACAGAGGCAGAAGACCGTCATGCACAGCGGACGGACGGACGCTCACCAAAGAGCTGCTCGGCAGTCGCGAGGGTCTCTTCCCTGGAGCAAGGAACACAACACAACACATCACGATAGATGTGTCCGTCAGTCCGTCCATTGGGCTGATGGGCTCAAGACACATGCCCACACCCACACCCCAGGGCACCGCACCCACCGTGTCTGTGTGTGGTTGTTGAGCCGTTTGATAGCCGTGAGGAACTGGTTGAAGTGCTCATAGGTCATGCGGGCGCGCGCATCCCTGGTCAGTCAGTACAGGCAACAACACACACACCTATCAACCAACACCAAATGTACCAGATAGGTGCGTCGACGACCTGAAGAACTGTTTGCCGTCGACGAGGGAGCCGCCGCCAGTGGCAGCGCCCAGGAAGCTGATCGATTTTGGACAGAAGCGATGGAATATGGCTGTTCTCTCTCGTGTGTGTGGGTGGGGTGGGGGGGGGTCTTACTCGCCGCCCGCCCCCTCGGTCCTCAGCTGAGCCCCCGCTGAGTGCACACCCACACACACCCACACACACAGATACAGGTGGACGGACGGCTGGTTGGATCTGATTGATGCGCATGTCTGTCTGGTGTGCGTGTAGTGTGTGTGTAGGTCACGTACGCTGTGCGGGCGATGACTTGCTCATCTCCACGCTACTGATTGCAATCAACACAACAGACAGACAGACAGACAGACAGAGGGAATCTTTGACAGGCAGGCAGGCAGGTTGCCATCCCTCCACCACTCCCTCCCTCCCTCCCTCCCTCGCCGCACGGACCGTGTGCCCTCGCCCCCTCCACGCATCTCTGCACGGCACACAGAGAAACAAGACAACAAGAGACAGACAGACATACACACACACAGCACAGTGTGTATCCACCGACGCACTCTTTGCACGTCATCCGGCCGACGGATGGCGAGTTGTGTCCAGTGCTGTCTGTCTGTCTGTCCGGCCCACCCCACCCCACTCACCGCTCATGGTGAGTGGCGCGGCCATGTCCAGATGGTGGTCCTCACCATAGTACTCCTGCACAATCACAATCACAATCACAATCACAATCACACGTGTGAGGATGAGATAGATAACTGATGTGACGGTTGGGTTGAGTTGACAAGTCGGGAGAAGGGTCGGTCTGTGTCGTGTCGTGTCGTCTTTCTTGCCTTGCTGAGTATGGCCTCAGTCTGTATGGTGTTGTCATCCTGCAGCGACGTCAGCACGGCCTTGCGCAGACTCTCAAGACGCTGGATGTCACGGTGCAACTACAACATAACACAACACAACCACACATCAACAGGCACACACACCAACAGGCACACACACGCGGCCGCACACACACGTATGGTTGGATGCACTGCAGTGCATTGGATACCGACCGCACCTTCTTGATGGTGGCGACAAGGTGTTTGTTCTCCTCGGTCATGGCGTCGCACCGCTGCCTGGTCTCCAGCAGCTCCACCTCCAGCATGCTGTTCTTCTTCTGCAACGCACTGATCTGAACCACACACACACACACACACACACACACACAGCGCAGCCCAGCCACATGAAGTGACGATTGATTCGTGAAGGTGGGTGGGATGGGGTGGCCACCCCTAGCTGACCGCGCCGGCCTTCTCGTCGACGAGTCCCTTGAGGTTCCTGAGTTCGTTGTCCAGGTTCTGCACCCGGCTCTTGTACGCATTCGATATGATGCGGAAACCCAAAGCCAGCTGCTCTGCGCACGCACACACACACGCACACACGCACACACACATACCAAGACACAGTATACTTGCCACCATTTTAATTGCCGTGCGGCAGCGGTGCTGTGCCCTCGCTGACCTTCGGGGTCTGCCGGCAGCATGTTCATCACATCCCGGTTCTGCGCAGCCATCCTGTCTGCCTGAGGCTCCCTCTCTCTCCTTCCCTCTACGGGCGCATGCGACAGAGCTCTGCCCCTCAGACGACAGACACCAGAACGACAGCAGACGCCTGCAAGGACAGACACCACATAAGAAAGGGCGGCAACGAGTAACAATGAGTGACCGAGCCCACAGGCAGGGCAGCCTCCTTGTGTCCTTATGTGTGCTTTGTTCATATGATTGAGCTTACTGAAGGCGACTGCACAGCTAGTCGAGCAGCTCAGCTGACAATTGAGTGCTCGATGGCCAACTGAGCCTCTAAGCTATCTGCAATGGTCGAAGAGAGCGATATTTGCAGTGGTCCAAGGAAGAACCTTGATTTTTGCGAGCTTGAATCCCTTCGAGAGAGATCTGCGGGCGCATGATGGAGCTGTTGTTGGACGCATCTGCGTCCCCCGCGTGCAGTGCCGCCCAGCTCGTGGCCGTCTACGCCGGCCTGGTGTCCAAGAACGTTGTCACCGTCTTGAAGCTGTCGCACAATGCGCAGAAGCTCCTCAACCTGCCGAAGGTGAGTTTCACTCGGTCGGTGAGCACATCACACACACTGCTGCAGCAGTGATCTGTATGTGTGTGTGTGTGTTTTGGCGCGAGAGGGAGGTCTCTGATGTGTGCGTGTGTGTGTGTGTGTGAATGTGTGTATGTGTGTATGTGTGCAGCTGCCTTGTCTGGTGAATGGGAGCGGTTTGCTGACGCAGCCGGGGGCCATTCTGAAGTGCCTGGCCGGCAGCAGCCAGTACACCAAGATACTCGAGAATGTCACGCCACTCGGCAAGGTGAGCTAGTTGAGTGGCGCGCGGCCTCTTCATCCGGTCATTGATCGGAGTCGCTGCTTCATTGCATGTGTGTGTGTGTGTGTGTGTGTGGTGGGTGCAGGCAGAGATCGACCAGTGGCTGTCATTCCTTGCTCAGCGGGACTATGCCGTCACTGATGCAGCCGCCATTAAGGTATACACAACACACGAAAGACAGACGAACCTCGTCAGACAGTACTAACACCTCTCTCTCTCTCTCTCTCTCTTGTGTGCGTGTGTGGGTGTGTGTGTGGTGGATGGGTGTATCTGACAGACGCTGAATGGCCATTTGCAGACCCGAACGTTCATGGCGGCAAACAACGTCACACTCGCAGACCTCGGCACCTACCCCGCTGTCCACCAGTGGATGGTATGGTGCACACACACAATCACACAGGCGTACGTATCTCTGCGGCAATCATCTGGATGGATGGATGGATGTGGTTCATTCAGGTGGGTGCAAGTGCCGAGGAGCGCTTGGCGCACTGCAATGTGACGCGGTGGTTCGACCACATCCAGCACCTGCCCGGCATCTCCAAGGCAGTCGGCCACCTCACCACTGTGGACATCCACACCGACCCCGTAAGTCAGTCAGCCTTGTGTGTGCTGGACGGACAAGAAGCAAGGTGCTGTCTGTTGGTCCGTTTGTGTGTCCCTAAGGTGCCTGCTGCTGCTGCTGCTGGATCGGCTAATGGTAATGCAGCTGCTGGTGGTGCGGACAAGAGCAAAGGCGCGATGGTCAATGGCGTGGCGGACCAGGCCAAAGCCAAGGTAGGTGAGCGCATCTCATCTGGCCCATTCTCTCTCCTGTGTGCCACGCCAGCCATGTGTCTGTGTGCGCGTGTGTGTGTGTGTGTGTTTGTTAAGGCCAAGAAGGCCGCCAAAGAGGATAAGAAGAAGGAGAGGGCCGAGAAAAAAGCGGAAAACAGCAACAACAAAGGTAGGTAGCAAATCGGTCTGTCTGTCCGTCCGTCGGTCCACCCACCTACCCACTACCTTGTGCTCCGTCCATTATGCTATGCGCCTGCTGTGTCGGTGTCGGTGTCGGTGTGATTTGATTGTGTGTGACGTGACTGTGTGACCTCGTGACGTGACAGCTCCCGAGCGGCCGGTTGAGGACGTGACGCGACTCGATGTGCGCGTTGGGCAGATCACCAAAGTCTGGCAGCACCCTGAAGCAGACAAGTGAGCGCAGCGCACAGACCGACACACACACACAGGAAGGCAATCCAATCACGCCAATCAAGCGTGTGCTGTGCACGAGTGTCGGTCGCTACGCCTGTGTGCTAGGCTTTACTGCGAGGAGATTGACATAGGCGAGGAGAAGCCGCGGCAGATCGCATCGGGGCTGGTGCCCTACGTGCCCATCGAACAGATGCAAGACGCAATGGCACGCACAGCACAGCACAGCACAGCACACGGCACAACCACACACACACACACACACACAGAGAGAGAGAGAGAGAGGGAGGGAGAATCCACTGTGTGTGTCTGTGTCTGTGTGTGCAGGTGGTTGTGCTGTGCAATCTGAAGGCCAAGAACCTCAAGGGCTTCCCGTCACATGGCATGGTGAGCGTCTGTCTGTCGGCGGTGCTCCTCCCTCCCTGCTGTCTGCCGATGACAGACACCTGTTTGTGTGTGCGCGCGTGCAGGTCTTGTGTGCGTCGTCTGCCGACAAGAGCAACACAGAGCTGATCCGGCCGCCGCCAGAGGCAAAGGTGCGTCAGAGAGGATGGCCGACACACACACACACATCCTGCCCTCGTGTGTGTGTGTCTGTGTGTGTGTGCCTTGATCAGATCGGCGACCGCATTGCGTGGGAGGGCCTTGAAGGCGAGCCTGACGAGGTGGGTCATGCATGGCTGGACACACTCGCATGGCATGGATGCCATGTCGTGGCTACACACAGGTCCTGAATGACAAGAAGAATCCCTTCAGCAAGGTGCAGCCCGACTTCCGCACCTCAACAGACAAAATCGCTCTCTACAAGGCACGTTGGACACAACCAATGCTATACACCACACCACACCACACAGCGGTGTGGGCACATTCCATGTGTGTGTGTGCGCGCGCAGGACCATCGCTTCATGACGCCCTCGGGGCCTTGTTTCTGTGACAGCATTGTGGGCGGCACCATCAGCTGAGCTCAGCTGAGCTGAGTGTGTGGGCGTGTGTGTGTGTTTGCGTGCGTGTAAGACCGACCGGCATCTGAACAAATCCTGTGTGCCTGCCTGCCTGCCTGAAATATGAGTGAGAGACGGACGGTGTGTCCTGTCCATTTCGCTGCGCTCGGAGCGAAGATGACTGATGATTATTGAGTGGACAGGACACTCATCATTGTCCATCAGACAGACATGCTCGAGCCAACCAACTTGCAAGAGAGGCATACCCATTAAGCGCGCACACACACACACAGACAGACGCGCGGCACCGCACAAAAACACTGCTCCCTGGTCTGTCCATTTCATTCATTCACCCATCAGACGCCCACTCCTGTTTGTATCAGATACAATCAGTGCCGCCGCCCCCCACTAGTGCCATTCAGCGCCGCGCTCTTGGCCCCCTCAGATTTCTCACGCTCCAGCCGCTCACGCCGCAGCAGCTCGATGCCGTTCAGCTTGGGGCCATCCTCCTCTGACTCGTCGTCCCACCGATGCTTCTTGACACGACCACGGTGAGAATGCCGAGACGACCCAACGCCCTCCCTCTCCCTCTCCCTCATCTCCTTTTTCACCCGTTTCCTCTCCTTTTTCCGCTCCTTCCTCTCCTTCTTATCCTTCTTGTGCCGCTTCCTGTCTCTGTCGCCGGCTTCGTCGCTGTCGCTGTCGCTGTTGCTGCTGCTGTGGCGCCTCTTGCCGTGGTGGGAGGGACGGGGTGGGGGCGGGGGTATACCAGATGGGTGCTGGAGGGGCTGCGGGTGGCTGGGGAGGCTCTCGAGGTGTTCGACGAACCGCTTGTGCGACGGGAGGGTCTGCAGGTACCACGGGAGGGACTCGCTCTTGAGGGCAGCGAACTCGGACACAGTCTGAGCGATGGGATGGGACGAACAGATGAAAAGAGACAATCAATCGTGATGATGTCACCGACGGTGGTTGGTGTCATCACAGTTAGTTGTCTTTATGTGCTGTGCGGGCGTACCCTACCTACCTGGTTGGTGTGTCCGACTTCCTTGAGATACTTGTGGTGTTTGGCCTCGGCCTTCTTCATCTCAATCTCCTCGTCCGCAAACAAGTTGATGTGCCCACCAGCACCACCAGCCGCCGTGCCCACAGCCTCGCCACCATCTACGGCATCAGCAGCAGAGGGAGCATCATCGTCGTACTGGATGGCCGGTCCAGCGATGGCGTCGTCGTCGGCTTCCTCGTCGGCGGCGTGCGAGGACCTTCCCCCTTTCAGCCTGCCTATCTTGCGCACGAACTCCTGCTGGTTCTTGTCGCGCTTTTTCTTGCGCTCCTTCTCCCTGTGGTCATCCTGATCCTTGGCGACCTTAGCCCTGATACACACGCAACAACAACAACAACAATGAACACACGCACACGAGAAAGGGGAATTGGATGTGTGTGTGTGATATGGCCTGTAGTGTGCGGTGCGGGCGTGGCCATCGTACTTGTTGTCGTCTCGGTAGAGGTGCCATCGCTTCTGTGGCAAGATGTTCAGGCCGCCGTGACCTCCCATCGTCAGTCAGTCAGCTATCAACCAATATTCAACACGCAAGGCGCGAAAAAAGGACGCTAGCAGGTTGGAAAAAAAGAGGCAAACCATTGCGAGCTTGGCTGTGAGCTCGCCATTTCTCGGAGGGATTCCGCGCCCCTTTTCGCGAGAGCACCACTTGATCATCAGCAAGGATACCCCAATCGAAATCCGACGTCAAAAATCAGAGAATCGGAAGGCAAGACCACAGGGGCTGAGCTTCCGGGCCTCTGTCTTTCGGGACGGTTGTCGACGGCAATTAACCCCCCGTACAGGTGCCAAAGGAGCCCCCCACCGGCCAGAAATAGCACCGGCTGGCAGGGCAGCCCCCCCATCCAAACTGAGCGAGGCGGCACGGCATGAACTACCTCCCCAAGCCATCGGTTGGCTACAGCCAAATCCACGGCCCCCCAGCGGCCACGGCACCCGCCCCGCCATCACTGGCCCTCACGCAGCCCGCTGTAAGACCCACCCTCTCGCAGGGCGCTGGCGGACAGGCGCGGTCGCGGGTGGGTGCGGCTGCGGCTGCGGCTGGAGGAGGGCCTTTCGGCTTCGCCACCCTGCCATCTTCGTCGGCCTCTCCCTCCCTCTCTCCCTCCCCCTCCCAGGCAGAGGCTGCCGGAAGTGTCGTGCCCACACCGCGCTTCCTCCACCCCACACAATCGAGCTGCTCGTCGGCCTCGTCATCGTCACTCGGCGATGGTGGTGGTGGTGGTGGGCATCCTCCCTATGAGTTTCAGCTGTTCCCCGCCGACCTCATTCAGCAGCTGCGGGCGTCGCCTGCCAGCAGGGACAAGGCCATGGGTTCGCTGATCATGACGCTCAAGAGCCCTCGGTCGATACGCGTCATGGCCAATGAGGCGCAGTGGGGCGCGGTGCATGGTGCGGGGTTCATGGAGCTGATCAACTATCTGCTGGTGCAGGAGGGGGCGGCGGGGGGGAAGCAGGCAGGGACAGGGGCAGGGGGAGGGGCTGGAGGTGGCCAGGCTGGTGGGAGCAACAACGCGTTGCAACTGATGACGAGCGTTGTGAGGATGCTGCGGGGGAGGAGGCCGGCTGCCAACCTCAGCCATAGCGCCGCGAGAGTGATCATCCCCAGGGTAGGTATGCTGGCTAGGCTAGGCTAGGCTAGGCTACGCTATGCTGTGGTGTGGTGTGTGGGGGGTTGTGTTGGCGCCCAAAAAGATCTCTCTCTCCCTCTCTCTCCCTCTCTGTCTGTCTGTGTCTGTGTGGGTGTGGGTGTGGGTGGTCAGTTTCACCTGTTGTATCCCGGTCTGCTGCGTCAGTTCTCCGCCAACCTCTACATCAACCGCTCCTCAGCGCTCCAGTGCTTCTACCACGCATTCATTCTACTCGTACGCTACGCGCCACACACTGACACAGCTCAACACCACGCCCGTCCGCAGTCTGCCCATTTTCTCTCCTGCCTGATTTCAGCCGTCGTTGGCTGTGTCTGTGTCAAGCAATGTGGCTGCGGCCGCCCCGCGAGAGCGCGACAGAGTGCTGCACGAGTGGGTGGGCATCGGTCAGACGCTCATCGAGGCCCTCACCACACACACCGACCACAAGCACTGGAACGTCAGATCAGAACTGGTACACACAACGCTCTCACACATACCCTATATCGCCCACACGGAGAGAAAGACAGCGCACTGACCACTCTCCCTCTCTCTCCCTCTCTCTCTCTGTGTGTGTGTGTGTGTGTGTGCCTGCAGTGCCAGGCCTTTTCAGTGATCCTGTTGGTGCTGCTAGGTCCCGGCCAGCGGTCTCTCAGCAGCAGCAGCCAGCCACCGACAGCAGCATCGGCAGGAGGGGGTGGGCCCGTCCGCCCCTCTGGCGAGCAGCAGGCGTGGTATTGCCATCAGCTGCTGCTCGCGTCGCGCGACAAGCTGCTCAAAGCCCTCACCAAACTGCTCATGGACCAAAAGGACAAGGCAAGCCACATCCTTACACCCTTTTCCGCCCTCCACCCTCCCTCCCCAATACCCATGTGTGTGCCTGTCTGTCTGTGTCTGCAGGTGGCCGCGTACGCCCTAGAGTCTGTGGCGATCCTTCGGCAGGCCTGGTATGCGTTGTCGGTGGCCCCCCCGCCATGCAGCCCGGCCGATGAGTGTTTCGAGCGCATTGTGGCCGTCATCAAGTCGTTATCTGCATCTCCGTCTTCACGGCCGTCACAGCAGCAGCACCAGCACCAGCAGCACCGTCGGCCGTCGAGCACACAGGACGGCAATGGCACTGGCAGTGGCGGTGGTGGCGGTAGTGTGGAGAGCCTGGGGCTGCCGATGGGGCTGCCCATCCCGATATTGCCCGTGGACGGTGCGAGTGACGGGCAGGGGCAGGAGGGCTTCCTTATCGAGTGCCTTAGAAAACGGTCGGCTCACTCACAGACACACCGACACGGATGCATGCAAACAGTGCTCTCGTGTGTTCGTTCGCCCAGGTTCGTATCTCCCTCTCTACCGATGCTGTCCGACCCCCTCTCTCTGGAGCAGCCCGCCGACTCGGCAGAGCTCCTGCCTCTGTTTGACGACAGCACCCACCCGCAGCAGCAGCTCATCAGCTACTACGAGCACCCCGGGCAGCCCCCCGCATCCAACCCTTTTTTCTTCTCATGGTCGCCCGTAACGTCCTCCTCGTCGAGAGTGACCACTGCCGGCACGCAGCTGCCGTCACCCACACACACGGGCGGCTCGAGCTCCCGCGCGAGCATTGGGTTGGGCCTGCCACCGAGCAGCCGGCCGTCTGCAGGTCTGTCACATGTATCCCTCACGCTTTGTATCGATGCGTGGATGTCATCAGAGCTGGCGATGGGGAGCGAGGTGGCGGCTTTGCGATGGACCGATATCTACGGCTCCTTCGACGACGACTCGCCCGTCCCCGGTATCGGCATCGGCCAGAGAGGCAGCTACGCCAGCATTCACCTGAGCGGCCGGGACAGAGACAGAGATGCTGACGAGATGTCCTCGGTGTGGAGCTCCGCCAGCCGCACCACCAGCCCCGACCGCAATATCAACATCGAGAGGGCGAGACGGCAGCGGCCGATCACCCAGGGAGCCGGGAAGGAGGACATCAATGGCGAGGGCGAGGGTGGGGCGCTCCCTCTGGCTCCGTCGGACATATCAAGCCAGCTGCGGCTGCTGCGCACCAGACGGGCGAGCGGCAATCGCAGTAGATCCGCGCAGGTAAGCCACTCGGCCGGCAATCGGAACGGCAGCTCGGCCAGCCTCACACTTATCGACACCGACGGACCACCATCGGCCGCCCATCCATCGCTGGACTCACAGGCGGCATCGGGCGTCGAGTCGCCACCGGAGATCAACCTCATCTCAACCGCAAACACCAGGTGAGCAGGAAGGCAGGGCAGGCTCACGTGTCTACGGAACCTCATAGACAGACACCATTGTGTTGCTCTTTGGTTGTTTGGCAGTCGCAGCGGCCGCAGCCCGGCGGGTCGCAGCCGTCGTGGCGCCCCGACGGCCACCGCCAGTGCCAGCCGTGGGGACATGTCGGCCAACTCGATCACCACCACCTGTCCGGGGCACGAAGGCGACCTCTCGACCTCGCACCCCACCCCCTTTCCCACCACCCCCTATATGGCCCCCTCCCACTCCCCCACGGCCGCATGCGGCACCCCCACACCCATCAATGTCGAGCATGGCGGCGACGTGGCGGCCTTCCCTCATGTGCATGTGGGTGACGAAGCTCTCGACGCCAAGCTGTTCTCTGACGACTACCTGCACAGCACAAGCGTCATGTCACCTGAGGGCTGCAGGAATAAGAGGGAGAGAGGCCCGCTACGGCCGAGGGGCAATGGCAATGGCAATGGTGGCGGGAATGCTGCCAACGGATTCAGCCTCGGTTTGGTCGGGACAGGCATGAGCTTCGCCTCGCAGGGGAGCGGTCTGAGCGGCATCTCGGCCTTCAGGCAAAACACGGGTGACTCCCTCAGATCGGGCACACCAGACGTCCCCCCACAGCACGTCTCTTCATCAGCCCCCCTACCCCTCCCAGCCGACGGCAACACAGCCGCGGGCGGCCCTGGCCTGCCGCCCCTCCCCCCGTCGCACCGAAGACGGCAGCAACATCCACAATATCAGCCGCCGAGAGGCCCGCCATCCCGCGAGGCCGTCGCCGCCGCCCCGGCGGACGAGCTGATGGACGACGGCGCACAGAGGGACGTCTCGGCCCCTTCCACTAGCCAGTCCATGCGCACCAAGAGGGCAGAGATGCCCAAAAGGCCACACCCATTGCCGAGGATGGGCTCGGACGAGAGTCAAGTGGAGGTTGGTGTGGGTGCGACGGGTGGTCACCACTACGGCGCCCCGCCGAGGCGGGCCAACAGCAGCGACAGGCGAAGCGCCAACAGACGGGGCAGCAAGGGGGAGGACCCACAGTCGTCGGACCTCACCATGGCTGGTGTGGCCATCGGCTCACACAGCAGTGACGAGGCCGCCGATGTGGGCGTGGGTGTGGGTGTGGGGGGCGGTGGGCGACCCACACACACATCACGTGCAGCCAAGAGCCAGTCGCCCTCCTCAGACCAACCCGCCGCCGCCCCTTCTCGCCGCAAAGGCGGTTCTGAGGAAGCTGAGGCCGACGGCGCACAGAGGGGCTTCCTTGCGCGCGGCTACAGCTTCGGTGAGAACAAGGAGGGAGCCAGCAGCAACAGCAGCAGCAACCAACCGGCAGCTGCGGCGTCGGCCCAGCACCAACAGCAGCCGACCAGGAGGAGGCTCGCCCAGCAGCAGCAGCAGCAGCAGCCTGCTCCGAGTGACAACTCGGATGTGTCAGCTGCTGCCGCCATGCCGGTGTCAGTTTCTGCGCCGACTGTGGGGGGAGCGAGTGTCCGTGGTGCGGCTGGTGGTGGTGGTGGTGGTGGCGGCGGTGGGCAGAAGCTGGCTGTCCGTGCGGCAGACGAGGAGGGGCCGCTCGGTGTGGGCCTGGCCTCTACCTCTGTCACAGATGTGGGCGTCAAGTACTGCTACCGTGACGACCTTCAAGTAAGAGAGCACGTCTGTCTGTCTGTGTGAGGGGATGGATCGATGGATGGATCGATCGATGGATGGATGGATGTGTGGATGCAGCCGTTCCCGAGTTCGGTGGTGGTCAGCGAGCGGTACCTGCAAGAGCTGCTGGGGAGCAAGGGACTGCAGAGCAACAGCTGGGAGAAGCAGTTCAACGCCCTCAACAGCCTCAGGCGGGTGGCCAAGTTCCACCCCACCACCATTGTCACCTCCACATCGCCAGCCACCACCAGCAGCATCAGCGGCGCCGCCACTGCTGCTTCGCCATCCCTTCACGCATTCGTCAAGCTGGTCGGTGCAGATGGGTCTGTGGGATGGGAGTGAGGGTCAGTGTCATGTGTGTGTGTGTGTGTGTGTGTCTGGGTGGGGCGCGTGCGGTGCAGACAGTGCGTCTGGTGGACAACCTGCGGTCCTCTCTGGCCAAGAATGCGCTGATTTGTCTCAACGACCTCTTTGTCAGCTACCGAAAGCAGATGGTGGGTGGGGAGGGAGGGGACAGACAGATAGACAGACAGGAGAGACAGAAACCTGAGACACACGACATTTGCGTGTGTGTCTGTGTCTGCCATATGTAGGATCCCGAGTTGGAGACGTGTGTGCCGGTGTGCCTCAAGAAGGTCGGTTCCCATTTTCTCCCCTTGACGACACGAGATTGACAGACGAGACGAGCAGACGATTGCCTGTGTGTGTGCCTGTCCTGTGTCATGCTGTCCGTCACGTCAGGCCGCGGACACCAACACCTTCATAGCCGAGGAGGCCGAGCGCACCCTCCGCTCTCTCTGCAGCAGCGCGTCAGAGGGCAAAACCATCTCACTCGTCGTCCACGCCATCTCCAACTCGTAAGCCGCCACCAAACCACACACACACCTCCATCCCACCTCACGCACACACATGGTGGATGGATGGATGAATGTAGGAAGCACCAGTTTCTGAAGCGCACTGGTGCCTTGTGTCTGGGTTTGCTGATCCGGCGGCTGGGCGGCCGGGTGGCCGGCATACGCGACATTGACAAACTCGTCAACGCACTCGGACAGGTCAGCAAAACACCACAGACGGGGACAGAGACAGAGACAGAGAGATCTCGGTTGTGTGTGGGTGTGTGGGTGTGTGGGTGTGTCATTATCAGCTGGGCAGCGAGGCGTCGCCTCACTGCCGCGAGATGGCGCGGGCAGCCATAATCACACTCGCCAGGTAAGCTAGTGAGCCGCCTGTATGTGCGTGTGTGGTGGGGTACGTGTCTGCCTGTGGTTTCTGTCTGCAGGAGCATGAAGCCCACCGATTTGGATCGGCTGCTTAAGCGACACCTCTCTGACAGGGACCTCAGCAAAGTAACCTTGGTCGCTCCGCACACCCCTCCCACCCACATCAGTAAGTGTATGGTATGCTCCGCTTCGTGTGTGCAGGTGAAGGTGATGATAGAGAAGTCGGGCGATGTGGACGCCGATGCCATACTGGGGTAGATTACTGGGGTAGATTAGATAGACAGACCGATGGATGGATGGATGGACGGACGGACGGAGGGGATCAGTCAGTCGACAGAGGGAGCAAGAAATGCAATCCGGTGATCCATGCAGCCATGCAGCCAGCCACAGATAGTGGTGGTGGTGTCTGAGTCAATTGAACATGTTAGGGGGTAATTCATGTGTGTGCGTCATTCGTCCGTCCGTTTGAGAGAGCCGGGGGGACCCGCCAGACACACAGACAGACAGACAGACAGACGCCTCTGCGTAGCGTATCGGTTTGCTCACTCAGATCACAGAGAGGGTGGAAGAGTGAGTGGAGGGGGTGGATGGATGGAGGGGGAGAGAGTGACCTGCCTGCCTGCCTGCCTCGCCGACAGTTTGTTGCCAAACGAATCTCGAGTCTACCTGCGCTTGCTCAGCTGTGTGTGTGTGTGTGTGTGTGCTCGCGTGCATGCTTGCTCGTGTGTCTCTCTCTCCATTGTGGCCTATTTGTGGATGGATCTCTATCTCTCTCTCGTCCTCCGTCCGTGTGCGAGCGACATTTTGGCTTGGCTTGGCTTGCTGGCTTCGCTTGTGTTTGTTGTGCGGTCTGTCTAATTCAGTGTGTGGCTCGCTACGCTACGCTGTGCACACAACACACACTCAGATCGATTTATTCATTCACTCATTGGATGGATGGATGGATGGACGGACGAGCAAGTGAAGTGGCTGGCAGACACCCACCACACACACACACACACACATGGAATGCAGCCAAGTCAGTCCGGATGCACGTGTGTGTCCCGTTGGCCCAAATACACAGCTGCACCGCACCCCACCCACTCCTACACCAACAACCGACGTCTACGTGCAGCCAACGATCGAAAAAGTCCGCTTGAGCGACTGGCCTCCACTCCCCCGGCTGGCTACCTACTGCCCTGCCAGTGCGTGGCTCAGCTCTCTGCTGTGTTTGCGATGCTGATGTGTCAGTCAGGTCAGTGAGTGGCTCATTCAGAGCGGCAGTGGCGTGTTTGTGTTCCACCTGCAGACGGCCCGCTTTGCCGCCCCGAGGCACATGCCGCCCAGCAGCCCCAGGAACCGCTGACCGCCCGGCACATTCGACAGCAACAATGCTGCAGTGCACAAACAGACAGAAACCACACACACAAACACAGAAGGAATGACACACGCGCCAGCTGTGTGTTGTGCATAGCATATTGTGGGTGGGTGGCTGGCTGACCAGCGAGGCAGATGCACTGCGTGACCGAGAAGACCAGGGCGAAGAGGTAGGACTTGTGGACCATGGAGGCCCAGAAGGTCAGCAACAGGGACAGGCCGTAGGTGAGCGAGAAGGGCAGCCGCTTGTACGCCACGGCGGCCTCCCAGAAGGCTTTGGGGCCTCTGAGGAAACAAAGCGACGCCAGGCAGCACAGCGACCCCACAGTGAACGGCACCGCAAACTTCTGAGGCATTATCACCATCCTGAACGAACGAACGAACGAACACACAAATCAATCAAGACACACACATGAGCTGGTTCCACCCCTCCCTCTCTGCTCTGTGCGCCACACGTGCGTCATGCGCTTAGCGCTTACACAGGTAGGAAAAAGAAGGCGAGTGCCATGAAAAATATTCCCAGAGCGGCGGATATCCCGAAGTAGATGAGCCTGTCCGTCGAGATCATGTTGTCCGATACCTTCTGCTGCGCCCCGCTGACGACACTTCTTGCCGACGTGGCGACGCTCTTGGCGCCGCTGGCCATACTGCCGATGCCCTTCTGCGCCAGGCCGATGAGGCCCTGTGACTCGCCGATGTCATCGGTTGTCACGGGAAGGCCTGTGGCGCCCTGCCGAGTGGGCAGCTTGATGTGTTTGCCGATGTAGCCCATCATGGTGTTGCTCGTGGACTCGCCGGCGGCTGTCTGATTGGGTGCGGCGGTGTGTGCGGATGGGGAGGCGGCTTTGGGGTTGATGAAGTTGAGGTTGGACGCGAAATCGTTGAACGCCCTGCTCCCTGACGACATAGCAACTCCCACACAACGCGCGAAGCTGCTCTTTCGAACCAGCGAAGATAGAGCTATTTCACGGAGCTGCGAGCTTAGCCTTGGAATTCGAGCAATCAGAAGCGCCCTGTTCGTTGCTTCCCTCCCTGCTGGCGCTGTCAGTCCATCTAACAGGAGAAGTCCCTTTCTTGGTACGGGCGTGTGTGTCGTTGTTCCTTAATTAGCAGCAGAGAGGATATGATGCTGGCGTTCCTACTGGGGTAGATATCTAGATGGGATCAGTATGGCTGTCAAGGAGGGAATGAGTGTGTGCGACCCTGAGCCGGAAGATCTGCTCATCGTACGGACTAACATCTCCATCATCGAGAAATTCCTCATCGGCGATGAAGACGCCAGGAAGTAAGACGCACACAAACACACACAGACAGGCAGGCAGGCCGTTCTGTGGGTGTAATGATGTCACGAGCACACAGCAGCCACCCTCACACACATCCACATTGGCTGGGACATGTTGAGGGCGTCCGTCGTGCCACACGCCTGATTTATTGTCTGTCTGTCTGTCTGTCAGAACGTCTGTGGACCACTTCATCGCCCGTCTGAAGGAGACCGCCGTGCGGTCATCGGTCGAGAGCTCAGAGCGCCGGCTCTTCTGCCACTACTACTGCGTCCTGCACAGGCTGGCGAGAAGATGCCCCTTCAAGGACATGGCCGAGCGGCTCTCGTATGAGCGGATGCGGCTGCAGGCAAACATACACACACACGCCTCTCGGTGGTGTGTAGTGTGTCAATCGCGTGTGTGTGTCTGTCTGTGTGTCTGTCTTGGTTTGGGCGTGTTGCAGAGTTATAGTTTGCCGCAGATCGATGACAGGCCGTCACGGTGAGCAAACAGAGAGAGAGAGAGGGATGGATGGATGGATGGATGGCTGGATGGAGGGAGGGAGGGATGGCCGTGTGGTGGTGTGTGTGTGGATGGCCTGCAGGTTTCTGGAGGCCGACGAGTTTCCCAGCGTCGACCTGTGAGCGCTAGCGCTGCCCTCGCACATCACACAGATTCGCACGACACAGACGCTGTCTGTGTGTGTTCTACAACACACCCAGGACCACCCCGCTATGGCGAGAGATCTTCACCACCAACAGCGGCCGGCTGTCTTACCTCCACCTCTCGCTGGCCTTCGACAATGGCTACCTCGAGCGATACTTCAACACTCTCAAAGTGGGTGGGCAGACAGACAAACGAACGAACGGACCACACACACACACACACGCACACACACCCATGTGTCTGTCTTTCCGTCCGTCAGTTCATAATGCACTCGTCCGAGGGCCCTCTACCGAAGCCATGGAGGAACTTCATCGCCATCATGGTAAGAAGTACACAGACAGATCTAAGTGTGTGCTCAGATCTCTCACCACACACACACAGCCAGACACAGACACAGACACACACCCCCGCTGTGTGTCGTTGGTTGACTGACTGGCTGATGTGGTGTGGTGTGGTGGGTGCAGGCGGCCTCTCGGCACCAATGTGACTACCTCGTTCGCTTCCAGCAGGAGCTCTTCCTGATCAATGGCGGAGGTCAGTCAGTCCCTCACCCCCCCACGCACCCCACCCCCACCCCCCCCCACACACACACGCACTCTGATCTCTGTCTGTCGAGTGAGAATGGCTGGAATGGATTGGATTGGATTGATGTGGTTCCTTCGTTCGTGTGTTGCAATGCTTGGCTTGCAGACATAGGATGGCTGCGCAGTCCCCAGTCGTGTGCGCCGCCGAAGCTGCTGTCGCTGCAGCGCCTCAACTGCATGATGGCACACACGCCCTGGACCGTGCAAGTCGATACAATACGGGTGGGTGCACATGAGGAGGGAGGGGGGGAGGGGCACACACGCAATCCCTCTCTCCCCCCCCCATCGCCCTCTCTCTCTCTCTCTGTGTGTGTGTGTGTGTGTAGGAGCTGAAGGAGGGCGAGAAGCCCTGGTCGGTCGCCGAGCTCGCGCAGGCCATCGTCATACTCAGGCAAGCCGCCACTCCCACTCCCACCCCGAGCACCTCCAAGGCCCACACACAGATGGAACCTCTCACATGTGACTGACCATCGGCTCTCCCACCCCTGCAGCACCTTCCACACCCTCTGTGGCGTCGTCTACGGCCTAGGCCTGCGTTGCGAGGAGGACATGGGCGACCAGTGGGTGGTGAGCGAGCCGCCCCCCGAGACCTCGCTGCCCGAGTGCTTCGAGGGCGAGACCGGGCAGCGGGTCATAGCGCTGCTGCAGAAGTACAAGCCCGACGCCGACTGGGATGAGCTTGAGGGCGGCGCTATGGAAGGTCCGCACACACACACACACAGAGAGAGAGAGAGAGGGGGCCGCAAGGACATCTCTCTGTGCGCGTGTGCGTGTCTGTGTGCAGTCGAGTCGATGTTTTCGCGCAAGGATGTCTCCGACGAGAAGCGCCCCGCACTGAAAGCCGTCATGGCCGCCCACCCCACTCTCGCCGCACCCTCATCCGCCAGATTCAGATTCGCACAACAACCGCCACCCACACCAGCAGCAGCAGCGGCAGCGGCATCATCGGAACCACACCCACACCCACACCCCCACCCACACCCCCACGCACCCCTCCCGCCTCTTGCGCGCGAACGGGGCGAGTCGCAATCGCCGGATGTGTCGCCGGTAAATATGCGTCGCGGTGTGGGCGGGGGTGCGGGAGGGGGAGGGGGGAGCGATGGTGGATCGCCTGGTGGTGGTGGTAGTGGGAGGTGGGCAGAAATGTACCCTGATGCTGCTATCAAGGAGTCGCAGAGTGAGTGTGGGCAGAGAGACGTGCGGCTGTGTTTTGTGTGAGTGTTTTGGTGGTTAGAAATTCTTTCGTTCGTTCGTTCGTTCGTTCTTTGGTTTGTTTGTTGGTCAGTGCTGCATTATGGTGAGTGCTCGTGGGAGGACCAGGCCTATGTGCTGCTGCAGCAGTTCTACCCTGGTATGGACACACACACACACAGAGAGAGAGAGGGGGGGGGGGGGGGGGG